AGACTTTTAGCGATCAAAATTAGCAATAGCAAATGCTGGAATCCGGATGCGGAACACAATCAGTAAGGAACAAAATAAATAAAAGTTTAAACTTTTAACATCGCTTTTGAATCAACTATTAGAGCTATGAGAGGTACATTGGCAAAACCGCGTATCTATTCAAAGATTTATGTCCGTTCTAGCGAAACTATAACAAAAGAACCTGCCTATTCAAGCTTTCCTACCAGTCTCCATAACCCATAATGCCTTCTGGGTTTGTAAGCTTCGAAGAAGACCAACTGAGTCCGCGAAATGGTTCCGATCCCACACGGACCGACGATGAGCTTTCCCTCGCAACAAAGTCTTAACCTGTTTCTTTCTGTCAAGATTTTAAGAGTGCCAAAACACTCCTTGACGAGCTTCGCGGGATTCCTCCGGTTAGATAAGGTCCTAATGGCCGCCTGGCTGTGTGAAAAGATAACTAAAAAGTTGCCTCTCGAACCCTTTTCAAGGTTCATTCTGGCACCGGTTGAGATTGCTAGCACTTTGATCTAAAATATTGCGCAATAGAAAGTTTATTGCTTAGACCCGTGTGTGTACAAAAGCGCTTGCATACCTGGGATCGAGGCAAGCAGTCCAATAACTTTACGCTTAGTACTAAATAAGACAAATTTAGATACGCAGTTTCTTTATTTGGTACCAGATTTCAAGGAGTAAAATTTTAGAAAATTAAGAGAAAAATAGTTAGTGCTAAATTCTTTAGATACAAGTACTTGGTGCTTCCAATATTTTTATGATTTATTTTTTTGTCGCTTATTCAACTTTAATCCTGGGTCAAAAATCCAGCTTACTTTCTTGGAGTCTGCTCAAAATGTTTCCATATTAATTCCATACTCTTTCTTTCCACTTCTACACTCTTTTACTCAATCAGGCCTCCGCGCTACGCAGCCAATTACACAACCTACTACGCGAACGCCAATTGGAAGATGCTGCCGCCGCAGCCACAGAGCAAGCCTCGAATGTAGCTGCACCCGATTATGACTACTTCGACGAAGATAAACGCTCTCTAGCCGCACTGGCCGCACAAGGCTTGCTACATCCCAAACGTAGCCTAGCAACGCTCGCCAAGAACGGACAGTTGCCCTCATTACCCGACCCGGACGATGTAGAACCAACTGTGCAGAACGAAGATAAGCGTTATGTGGGCGCGCTAGCACGCAGCGGTGGTTTTGCCACCTACGGCAAACGCAACATCGGCACACTGGCGCGTGACTATCAGCTACCACAGAATGGCAAACGTAATCTGGCTACACTGGCACGACTGGGATTGCTCAGCAAAAGCGAAGGCAACAAGCGCAATTTGGCCGCTGTGGCACGTTACAATTCGCATGGACGTCAAGCAACCATTGCACCGGGTGAAAAGCGAAATATTGGCGCATTGAAGAGTTCACCGGTGCATGGTGTACAGCAGAAGCGTGATGAGGATGAGGTCTACTTACCGGCAACTTACTTTGGCAGTGATATGGATTATGCTGATTTTATGCCCAACTATTGGATGTACCCAAGCTATGCCGATTTGGATTGGGGTGACTTTGGACGCGCACAAAAACGCTTTTTAGGTGAGTGAAGAAAATTTTGAAAATTTTAATGATAGTGGGCCGATGAGGGAGGGAAATTGTTAAAGGATTGTAAATAATCTAAAGGCTTGAAAGTATGTTAATATTACGCTAATATAATTAGGGTAAAATTAAGCACAATTTCGCTATTAAACTAGCCATATGTACATATATACATGTATACAAATAGTACTTATGTATATAATTTCATATGAAACATTATAATAGTTATACACTGTAAACTATGTACTATATACATATCTACTATGCACATTCCTCTAAAGATACCTCCAGGAATCCTGAACTCTTCGGCATCGAAAATGCTTTACCACCCGCCGAACCGGACTTTATGCCGCTGATTGGCGGCATCGATGATCCCGGCGAAGAAGCTGCCGCGCTTGCGGACCTCTCGAAAGATGACGCCGCACCAGCTGGAGGACCCTACGGCCCGCCGCCGCAAAAACGTCACATTGGCGCAGTCTATCGTTCGGGCTTCTTGCCCTCTTATCGTGCACTACGCAGCACCACTGGCACTTACGGCAGCGGCATTGGCGGTGGCGGTGGCGGTGGAGGCGGGCGTTTTAGTCGCTCGGGACGTGCCAGGCAATTTGTATGAGTAAATGGCGGTGAATTTGTGTGTTAATTGCTGATGAACCTACATACATGCATATCTTTAACTTACCTAATTGTAACTCGTAAAAAGTCATTTAAACTGTGTCCTCGTAAAACGTGTAGCTGCACTCAGATGCTGGTCCGAATGATGGTCGCATTGTGTTCCGCTACTGTGTCCTGTCTAGAAGCATCCTGTAATTTGAACATTTGTCTCTTTTGTTCATTTGTCGTTCGTTCAAAGTTCGCATACTCGAAATTCTGTGTTGCATACACACTTTTAGTTTTATTTTATATAATTGTTATTTTTTTTTTAATTCGCAACAAACGTATTTTTGTTTTTGTAAGCAAAAAGTGTTGCACACTCTCACTCTTCTTCATCTTTTTCTGCTGGGTAGTTGCTAGTGTTTTGGAAAAGAACATTAACTGACAAACAAGAAAAACTACTCACAAATAAATATGTATTGGATGTATTAGGGTATTGCACGTGCACGGGTAGTAAAAATTATTTGATTGGCATGCAACTCTAACAAAATTAGAAATTTACCTTTTTGCTCGTAGTTACTTTTACAGCATACTCGTTAAGCTCTACATTCTTTTCGCAAGGAATGTCGTAATAAATGTCAGTAATGCTCGACAAATAGTTTTAAAACTTTTTATGGCTATGCCACGATACAAAAAAGAAGGGAGTTTCACTTCGAAATTTTTTTACATGAACTGTGCTTTTGACGTTTATACTTTTTGTAAATTGCTCAAGTAGCACTGCCAATTCAACAAGTTATTGTTTTCGAAATTTTATATTTTTCATTCACATTTAATCGTATTAGCAGAACTGTTAATAGGTGTGTATTGATTTAAAACACCTTAAATTACCTTACTGAAAAAAAAATTTGGCATTATTTGTAGTGTTACATGAGATATGTTATTACACCGTGCGACAATAAATTTACACAGAAAAAAAATTAATATATTCGCGAAACTATGGATAAATTATAGTATAAATGCGTACTTAGTTTTTCTCTCTGACGTCAGGACTTTGAAATTTAAAAAATATGATTATTTCAAAAAATTATTTGAAAAATTCGGTACAATGTAGAGTAACAATAAGGACATCATATAAAAGAAACATTTTTGTAGAATTATAACAGGATAAATTTTTCGGTCCATAAGGACAATCGGGTACGGAAAATGTTCTTTACAAATTTTGTGCTTAAATGTCCTTGTATTTTATTTTTTTTTGTTTTTTTTTTATTATTTTTCGAGGACTAATATACGCACGACCTCATCATTGAATTTCGTCCTGCAAACTTTATCAACTTAAAAAGATAAAATTTATTAAAAGCGCATTTCCAATACTTATTGCCTTTGTAAACAAAAAAAAAAATATTGTTTTTAAATTCTACAGGATGTTCTCTCTCATTTGGCACCCATATTGTTGTTCTACCTTGGACTGAATTTTTTTAATAATTTTTTGAATCAATCATATTTTTAGAACTTCAAAGTCCTTTGCAAAAAAATCCAGACGTCAGAGTTAAAAATTAAAAACGTAGTTTTACATATTTGGCCCATTGTTTCGTAAGTATATCGATTCTTCGGGTGTTTTGCATTTTTTTCTTTGTTTTTGTCGCACGGTGTTATATCTGGGAATTTAGATATTAGGATGTTGCTTTAATTTGGATCCTCTTTAGTGGAAATATGAACAAAGGAATGGTTAAAAAGTAGTAAATGAAAGCACTATGAAAGCATAAACTTATTTATGATAACGTATGATGTAGTCTTAGAGCTCCTTATTATAGTTTATAGACAGACAAAGTACTCGCTCTACTGCTGCTGGTGCCGCGTTTCGGTTAGATTGGGCACATCCGTCCCGAGGCTGAAAATTTTCTGCCGAAAAGTGGTTGGGGAACAAACAAACAAAACCTTTGTGAAGTTACCATGCCCGGGGCCATCCCGAAATATGCAGGTAATCGTACTAAATAATAGCTGAAATACATCGCCGGCGAACGGCAAACTTCGCCGAATATTTACAACAGAATTAGAGCCGTAGCGAAAGCAGCTAATGTCATTTTGTCGCCTAGAGCTGGGATGCTATCGATAGTAATATCGATAGTATCGATAGTTGAAAACTGTCGCCACTATCGATAGTTTTTGAAAACTATCGATGACGGTTTTAGCAAGACTTCCAAATGTTTCTTCTTTACACATTATATTATTTTTTTTATGCAAGAAAATTCAAAACACAGTCGGCAAAAAAAATTTTAAGTCATTGGGATTTTTAGCAACTATAAGCTTACACAGAGTTATAGTAAAATTTAACTAGCTATAAAACTGCTTACACAAAATTTTTATAGAAATTCGAATTAAAAAGCTTGAATTTTTAATTATTTTGTAGTTTTTTATGTTTTTTACAACTTTTATAAAAAATTAGTAGACACTAAATAAACAAAAGAGTAGTCAAAACTGCTAAAAAATGTTGTGGTGCTATTATATTGAGCAGTACTATATTCGTTTTCTTATAATATGATAAAATGTTAATAATTTCCCTCGTCCGAATTTTGATATGCGCCTCCGTATTTGATCTCAGTTGAACTTTTATAAGTATGAGTTGTCAATTTAAATGAATATCTTTTATTTTGTTTATTTTGTAGTATTATAAATGCATTTTATAGCCAATTTCACTTCTTTGCACTTCAAAAAAAAAAACAAAATCCAAGTTTAATTTTGCCATATAAAAAATAAATTCAGATTTTGCCTGTCGCTATTCAAGGGGATGCGAGTGTATGTAACGGGTGATTTTTTTGAGGTTAGGATTTTCATGCATTAGT